CGGACTACGTTGTCCAAATCTGCCTAATCAAGCTCTCTCTCTCATTTCCATGGCGTCCAATGACTTTTCTGAGATTCTCCCTCGCGTCCTCATCGTCTCCAGGCGTAGCGTTCGCAAGAATAAGTTCGTAGATTTTGTGGGTACGTTCGCAATTTTCTCTGTAGATTCTTGTTTTCAGAAAGTTAGGATTTTTTGGGCTTAAAGTTTTGTTTTTGATGTTTTCAGGTGAATATCATCTTGATCTTATAGTTGGGTATGGAGCTGTACCCGTTATTGTTCCCCGAGTCAGTGGGGTGCATATGTTGTTGAACAGTTTCGAGCCGATTCATGGGGTTCTCCTCTGTGAAGGGGAAGACATTGACCCATCTTTGTATGAGGCGGAAATATCCGGCCTTTTACCGGAGGAATTGGAAGAAATCAGGAGATTGCATGCGAGCGATACTGCCATTGATAGAGAAAAGGATTCAATCGAGTTGAACCTGGCGAAGCTTTGCCTCGAGAGGAACATCCCCTATTTGGGAATTTGCAGGGGTTCCCAAGTTTTAAATGTTGCATGTGGAGGGATCCTTTATCAAGACATCGGGAAAGAACTGTCGAAAAAGTTTCCAGAAAATCAGAGGGCAGTGCACATTGATTATGATAATTATGATGGGCATAGGCATGCGGTGAAGGTGGTAGAGAATACCCCTTTGCATGATTGGTTTAATGATTCTCTGGAGGAAGAGAAAATGGAGATTTGGGTTAATAGTTATCATCATCAAGGTGTTAAGAGATTAGCTCAACGTTTCGTTCCAATGGCTTTTGCACCAGATGGTCTTATTGAAGGGTTCTATGATCCAGATGCTTATAATCCAGAAGAGGGTAAGTTTATCATGGGTCTCCAATTCCATCCTGAGAGAATGAGGCGGCCGGATTCTGATGAATTTGATTATCCAGGATGCCCATCTGCTTATCAGGTATCATAATGATTCTTTTGATGGCTTACAAAGATACTGTTTTGATGTGAAGGATTATGAAGTATGTTACTGATTGATTTTGATGAAAAATTGTTGCAGGAATTTGTTAAAGCAGTAATTGCTTATCAGAAGAAGCTTAATAGCACAACATCTATGCCAAAACCTCTTAAACTCAATCAAGAAATGGAGAAGAAAAGAAAAATGATAATCAGAAGCTTCTCCCTTGCTAAAAACTTATACTCCACAGGTTCTGAGATGCATCCTTCTAAAGAATCTGAACTTCAAGCTGGAGCAGAATTTCTTGAGGTATAAAACCATGACAAAAGAGTGGATTAACAAGTGTTTGGGATTAAATGTTTCACCAGAGTTATTAACTGCGTTCTTTCCTTGTTTGCAGTCAAATACAGCTTTGAGCATTCAACAAGAGAACAGATTGAAGCAGATGGGTGCAACTGTGAGAAATGCAGGTTCTTATATTGAGAGATTGAAGCAGAATGAGGAGAGGGAAAAATTGGCAAGAAATATGATGGGAAAAATGTCTGCAGAGCAGTTGGCTGACCTCTTGTCTTTCTACCACATGATGGGGAAGATATGTTCAGAAGTGCTAGAAAAGAAGGTTCATGGCATTGTCACTGACCTTGGCTCTTGAGGCCTCTCCCCATGACATTTGAAGGATATACTTTTCTGTTAATAAAAGGACAGGTCTCCAAAATGCTCAAATGAAACCTGGGTCTTGGATCCGTGTCCTTCCTCTGTATTTTGTCTTCACCTGTTTTCTATAATTAAAATTTATTTGTGTATATTGTAGTGGTTAAAGATGTCTGGTCCATACTCTCTTCTTGTGATCTTCATTTACTACTTGAATCAAACATAGGGTCGAAAAGATTGCACTGTCAAGACTCACACCTCCAAACAAGTACTAGAGAGGCATGCTTTGCTCTCTAAGTAGAACTGCTTTATTTAGTAATTACATTTGTATCTCATAAGGAACAGATTAGGGTTGCTCAAAATCTTGCTTAGAAACTTGAATTGGGCTGCAAGAAAAGGAAGCTAGACATGATAGTAGTGGAAATATAAACTCTTAACTTCCAAACTGAATTCTGAAATAGGTCATAGCCATCGAATGTTAAATTGTGCATGCAGTTCTGGGTGAAACAA